CTTCAAAACGCCGAAATGTAAAGGTTTGGGAACGTTCCTCCAAAACGCCCTTTAAAGCCCCTTTGGGGTAAATAAAGTACCTTTCGTAACCGTAACCGTATTCAAAATTAAAAAAAAATACAATTTTTTTCGTAAATTACGTTTTATTTAAAAAATAATTTTTTGTTGAATTTTTTTAAATATGTAAATAATTTCAACGGCACTTTTTATTTATATCAATTGATTTAACAATGTTCCAAGTACATCTGGAAATTTTTTCAAGCTAATCGCACTCGTCAATTTAAAATGGTAGACGATCAAAGTGTGTGTAGGGTCAGATTGACCCAGAGTGTTCTCTGTGAATGAAAAAATAGGTGTGTTCTCGGAGGGTTAAGATATCCCTTAAGGTAAGGATAAATAAACTGAGCACGGACAGTTATCGATCGGCGAGTGAGCTTTGATCTCCTTACATTCCTTTTTTTTATATATAACTGGCTATTTGCCTATAGTCCAGTCAAATTAGACATTTGAGCTCGGAAGTGAAGCGGTATCAATGAAACCTTTTTAGGGTTGTTGGGGGGATGTAGAAGAGCTTATTTTTGAGTGTCGGGTTAATCGGACCGATGAGTTTTTAAGGGGGGGAGGGGGAATGAAAAATTTCGTTTTTTCGCAATAACTCGGCGAATTTTGACCGTACATGATTGACTAACCTCTCATTTTGTAGCTCTTTTAAAGCCCTACAATTCATTTCCTGAAGACCTTAACTTAAAATCAATATTTGTCGAGTTCTAGCCGGTAAAAGTGGGAAAAAATGTATTTTGTCGCGGTTTTTTGCATACACGTTATCGCCGCCTAACGGCTCGTTGCATATAAAACACTCGCTCATGTTACAATTTTTCATTAACTTTATACTCGAAAAGAGAGATAAGCGAAATACGCGCCGAGTCCTGAGCGCACTCGTTAAAAGCACGACTTCCAGAGGCTTTTCTGGGCTCAATTTTTAACGAATCTGAACGACTGACCTCTCATTTTGTAGGTCTCTTCAAGCCCTACAACTTTGTCAGTGGCGGCACATTTCTATCTATTAATGGAAACGAGATAAACGCAAAAAACCGCGACAAAATACATTTTTTCTCACTTTTACCGGCTAGAACTCGACAAATATTGATTTTAAGTTAGGGTCTTCACGAAATGAATTGTAGGGCTTTAAAAGAGCTACAAAATGAGAGGTTAGTCAATCATGTACGGTCAAAATTCGCCGAGTTATTGCGAAAAAACGAAATTTTTCATTCCCCCTCCCCCCCTTGAAAACCCATCGGTTCGATTAACCCGACAATTCAAAAATAAGCTCTTCTACATCTCCCC